GCATACCATTATTGTTCTTGGTAGTGTGGCGTGAGAGCAAATGTCTTAGCTTCATTAGACTGAACAGGTGTTTTTTTTATTCCCGTCTCTTTTCCTTGGTTGTTTTACACACCCTCTGATTTCAGTATCTGACATTATCCTCGATGCGACTTTGATCTTTTGTGGTATGATCCTTACCTTTCTAACAAACCACGACATACGGTTCCTCGTTAGCTTGTTGTAGGAGTTTCGTGAGTGCTGTTAACGTCTTTTGGCGTCTGTATATCCGCTGCCATGGCCATTCTTTCCTCTCACAAAGTAAAATATTGATGTTTCTCGCGATGTTAAATCAGGTTCTATGATACATCGAATACTTTGCAACCATGAGATATATGCATTGAACGTTACAGCCGTTAGATATAATATGATTTAGCTTCATGAAGTTTGTTTCTTTTCAGTTATTTGCAAACTCCGAGAAGCAGGGGAGTGGATTATCTATAAGGGAGTACAAAACCTGGTTAACACAATGATCACTATCCGTCTTTCTGTCTGCCCTGCGGTAGGTATGTATGACCTAGGATGACACTGAAGTTCATCGTTTGAGCTGATAACGATATTTGTTGTTATGAAAATGAATGCTTGCCACAACGCAGATAGTTATATGTGGACAATGAGATTGTCCAGTACAAAATCTTGATCCCTCTATCAAGAATGGAACGCAACACCTCAAAGTCAGATTCAACGTCTGATACTGTCATTGAGGATGAGGGTCAGGGATGAGTTTGCAATTAAGGGAGGGTACACTAGCTATTGACTATCAGTGCAATTATTGATACTTATGTGATTTCATGAGGATTAAAGCTTCAGTTTACGTGAGTGTGCTTTAGGGGTTTAATCGACTATAATCAGTCCGGTGTTTAGTCTATCGGGAAACCGTCAATTGGACTCAACGATATGACTTCTAACCATCTATGATGGTGCTTAAATTATCAGTTTTCGGTGAAAGAATTAAAACATTCGTGGAACGAAAATGAAATCCTGCGTTCACGTTTTGGCTACGACCAGCTGTGTCCTCCTGGTCCATAGTCTAACTCCAAACCTGTCTAGCGACAGCCCTAAAAACATTGAACTGAGAGTAACATGGAGTCTTGATGCTGCAAATGACGAGACCGTTGACTGAAGCTGAATAAAGCTAAACGTCGTGGGCCTGCATCAATTCCGGCTTTCCTTCCTGAAAGTCAGCCATGTCGTTATACATGTATATCTGAAAAATTCTCAAAATCAAACTCAATCACCAAGAGATATATAATTTATAATCTTAGCTGATTTCGTCTCACCCGGGCTGAAATGCCTTGCATAAATACTCTACGCCAAGCTATGGAATTAATTATTCAAACTTGCAAGTCCAACTCAATGGAAAACGAAAGTTTGCTACTCGACGTGTAGCTCTGACGGATTTGCTTTCTAGAAACCTGTTCCATTGGCTGTCTTTCATATCAAGCGATCGTAAATAGCAACGTTAGGCAAAGTGGACGTGAAGAATCGTCTGACAAGAGCGGTAAGCTATTGAACACAATAGGCTTTTAGAGAATGATTGATCGACACTGGCACCAATGATTTCTCTTTTGTTGTCGCGACAAACGTTAATTGGTTAAACGATTCTTGTAATCCTCCACAGGAACTATCAATCGATTTGTGTGGAAGACAGAGTCCTTTTCTTCGGTGATTTCATCATTCTCTAGCCGAGTTTGCAAGTCGACGTGTAAGAAGGAAACTGCTTTTATGAGAACAGCCCTTTGAGAAAATTGTCTCCTCTACTGACAGATTTGAATCCCAGAAAAATAACTGGATTGCGCTTTACACGTTTCTAAAAGGTGTGGATCATGTTTCAGTGTCAAACGGATGCGTCTCCTGGGCAGCCGAAAGGAGAATATCACAGCCATATAGAGATGAACGATATCTGTTTGAAACCTATTGAGATTTTCATGCACAAAACATACTCAAGAACAAATAAGACACTTGTTGGTTGGATGCATTTCGTTAACAAATCATTAACTGGAAAAGGAGTTCTCATATTTTTAATAGAAAATCATACATCTCCTCAGCTTTGCACATGGAAAGTTTTGTTGAAAGTTTGCTCTGGAATATGTCCTTGCGTTGTCATGACAGATGAATCCAAGGGCAAATCTGAAAGGCATTATATTTAATGTAAACATATGTATATGGAGTGAAAGTGATTCTTACATTGCGTTTGGCTGTAAATTCACTGTGTGTATGTATAAACGTAGATGTCGGTTAACGAATGTAGGGAGCACAAGTCTCTGTGTGAAACATTATTGATAATAGGCCCCCTGTTCCAACACCCAATGCCCAATAACAATAATCGTTCTTTTCGTCATTGACGCTTGTTTTTCATGAGGCACCATTTGTTGCAGGCAGACATAATAACAATAAGGGCATCTGTAAATAGAGATTATTAACCTCGTGTGTTTCCGTATCATTAATATCATATATTAGGAATAAACATTTGATTATGCGAGCCTTTGGCGAGCATAATACATAATTCTCTCTTTATCATATGATGTCATTCTTAAAATTACTGTAAAAAAGAAGCAAATCGTACGTGAATCTATATGAAGAGAATCGAGCATTCGCGTAAGAATACTTAGCGGTACACCAAGGTGAAGGTCGTTCATGACGGCGGCATATGGTTGTGACTAGTTGCTAATACAGTGCAAACAAAACTCAAGCATAAAATTAGATCTTTCTGTCTAAAAGGAACAACAACACCGGGCAGGGAGTTCCTGGCAGTGTTTCTATTTTCATTTCGGGTAATCACATCATCAATATCAGTTTCTGCTACCTGACGGAATCGATTCGTCATCTGCATTGTGATCGATAGATCGAAATCCTTGGTTGGTACTTTTCTTAGACGATTGCCTTTCAGTCGTGCCTCACAATCCGTACCTTCAATTTGCCGAAGTACTCCGTTTCATGTTTTCCAAAGTCAACTACTGCAGTAACGACTCCAGAACCTCAGTCATCAATTCTTACAGATTCACCAATTTTGAGAATGGGGGCAGCCATGTTTGTTTACTAACAATGTAAACTCGTGACGACGTCATCAATAAAATGTTAAAACGTTTTAGGATTCGCATGGCGTGTATGGTGTTTTGTGAAAGTAGTTCGTGGATTGACGTAATTTGCATAGTTGTTGTTACGGTATAACAATATTGCGTCATATTCTTATTCATTTCTTTGTGCTGGATCATTGTTCATGACATTACTTTCGCACTTCATGTTAAAAAGAACACCTGAACGTCGAAACTGTCTGTGATGAAAAGTCCGTCGGCTCTGCTGAGGCGAGATAATTTTAATTCAAGGGCCGACAGTTATGATATTTCTGCCATAAAACCTTTAAGCTGGACCAAACATTCTTTTATAAAAACAGGACCATAGTCATACTTCACAATGTATGACGCAATACATAGACAGACAAAAATACAGACAGTCACTCACACAGACAAACAGACAAATACCTTGTTTTATGTACAAGGATATACATATTGGTGTATTTCTTCTTTTCCTTTATTACACTACGCCCAGCTATTTTTTATCATCTGGAATTAAAGTGATTTTTAAGCTCGGGCATACAGTATAAGCGAAATTGTATTGTTAATACTTCTGAACATTATGGAAAGGTTTTCTATTTAACATAACATCGTGAACATAACATTATAGGTGAATGTGTGTGAGAGTTTAAGAACTATAATAATATGTGAAGTTTTAAAATTGTATTCACATCGTTTTGCCAAGTTTCCCTTATTTGTCATAATAGGATGTTGGTTCAAGAAGATGTATGATGTAGACTTGAAACCACAGCAATAAAATTGCCATTGATAAGTACTATCTGTAAACAACAGAGTGACGTCGCAGATGCTTTTCAAGTCATGTGAATAAGAATTGAAGCCAATACTACAAAAGCCATACGATGAGTTGAAAGCCTCACGCAGACAGGGAAATCTTTTAATGTGGGAAAATCTTTTAATGTCGACATAAGATGTCATAGACAATCCTACAAATATTGAATTAGTTGAGCAAACTATTTGGCAGTCAGTTAAATACACAGGCATCTGTGACCTTTGCAAAATGGATAAATCCGAGGAACGTGAGGATAGTCGAGTGACGTAGTACTTGCAAGCCAGAGGGATTAACACCAAGAAGCCATCCCTGAAGACACGCTGGCATCACAAGGGGAAATGAGTGCATTGCAGAGAGAACACATGAATCATGTTAAAGTAGAACTGGGGTATTTTGTATCGCCCCTTGCATCTATGATAACACGTTTATTAACTCCAGATAATGGTCGGTCGACTGAAGGAGATCTCTCGTTATCAAGTATCAAGGTCAGTGCCAGATATACAACAGAATAGCATTAGTACCCATGTCCTTCCTCCAGATATTTATATTACCCTGTAGGCCAATGTTGTAAGATGACCTAGATGCACTGATGGGCACAGCAGCCTTACGAACGCCTTTTCATCTTGATGGACACAAAATATGACAAATGTTTTCTGGTAACGTAATGTTATCTTACTGCACAATATCGTATGTTTTCTTTGGCTATCAGTGAAAAATAAATTTTGTACACATTTCACTTTTTTGTGTTTGTTATTGTGATATTCTTAAAACCATATATGTGTCCCTTTAACGAGGCTCTCAAAATACGTCGAAATGGTAAGACATACAATAATGATGCTTTTAAAAATAGTCCTGTCACCACATTAGCACAAATGTGATTCTAAATATACCATGTATTAAAACTCTTCCCACGGAGTGAAATATGTACGAGGATGATAAAAGTGGATGAACAGTATGTTCTACTATCCTCATCCGTGTGTCACAGTCACATCAGCATATTACTCACGTTTCAGAACATGACGCTGACTGAATTTAGATTTCTTTAACGACGCCTTTTCAAATAGGCTCAAAGATCGATTGTGCAGTCCAGCTTCATGCAGCTATCAACACTAATTATCTCCCCTTACCTCACTTTATTTTACATCCCCAAAGGCCACATTACAAATCAACAGTGTGCACAGCTGTCACCAAGTGGATGGAAACCGTCTTAGTCGACCCATGAAATCACCCACAAAGGACAAAGAATTGAATACCATATAAAAACAGAATCTGGTGCTCTTATCTGTTCAGGCTACTTAGTGTTTGTGAATGAAATTCTAATGAAGCTCACCCAAACCCTCGACGAAATACACACCATTGAAAATCCGCTAACCTAGTGCTGTCCAAATTTTGATGGTTACATTCATCGATAGTATTTGTCCATACCTTAGCAATGGCAAAGAAGGATGTACGCCATATCACAATGGCACTTTTCAAAGGTGAGAGTGAATTGTTGCCTTACAAACAACATAACATGGACTGTGATGATGAAGACAACGTCTAAGGCTACAGACGTAAAAACGACTAACAGATAGGTTTTCACGTACACAGCATTTTTCAATGACAACGATTCACCAAATGAAAACATGCAGATACCTGATTACTGAAGCAGTGAATCATATGTGTCAGACGCAAATATCCAAATAATACCAGGAGGAAGTCCATCAACCACACTGAACAAGGTTGGTTGGTTGGTCGGTTTGTTGTTTAACTCCGCACTCAGCAATATTCCAGCTATATGTAAATAATCGAGTCTGGACCAGACAACTCAGTGATTGACATCATGAGCATCGAGCTATGCAATTGGGATATGATAACATGTGTCAACCAAGTCAGCGAGCCTGGCCACCAGATCCCGTTGCCTCTTACGACAAGCATGGGTTGCTGAAGATCAATTATTTTTACCCGGATCATCACGGTATTTATCACGTCACCAATCTACTATACGTCCCATTCCAGTTTTATCAAGTGACTTTCATTGAAAGACTAGAATGTAGAGTTGTGACCGGCCCCCCAGCGACACATTCCTAAAGAAGAGCATGTCAAGGTACATGATGTGCATTTATGTTTGTTAAAAGTCATGGTGTCCTGATGAAATGGTGGTCGTACACGTCACTGAAATATGTTACCTTCTAAAGTGTTTATTTGTCAGTGTCAAATGACTCAGTTTCTAGCTAATATGGGCTCATATCACAGATGGATATCCAATTTGAATCATTTATAATTATTGTATCTATACGAATCTAGACAATCAACAGCTTCATGGAAACATCTTGCCAGTTGGACAGATGCTCACAGAGATACTATATCTTTAACGTATTTTTCTATATCCATGAAGTTATTTGATATTTTCTTAGACTTAGATCTGAGGTTTATGTCTCTATCTTTCATGACAATATGTAATGAGAAATGTATTAAGGTATGTAAGAAATATATTAAAACGTACAATTATTGTAATTTAAATTGTAATTGACGACTCTGTAAGGAAAATATTTTATTATGAAGAGTAATGACCAGGGACCTTTACACCGTAATCACACAGTACCAATGGATAATCCGGAACGTGCATTTCTATCTGCAATCATCGTGTAATTGGAGATTTAAATTCATCTCAGATATATTTCATTTCTCATATTTTTTGTGATATGGAACAAGCTATCAGCTTTTGGTGAACAAAAGAAATTATATATTGTTTATAGACATAATAAACTGAATTGTACTAACATTACAAGCACAGACATTTACATTAACTCTAAACCCTGATAGGGATACTGTCAGCTCTCCTTGATACACAGAACTTATTGTTTACTGTATTTGTTTATAAAGAGACATATCTGTAATTCAAATGTTTGTGTAAATAGCTACAAATTACCAATACTGACATTGTTTCTAAAACATAGCATTACTGATTTTCAATAATCATAATCGTTTATGACATTTCAATAGAGTGAAAATCAATGCACATGTTACGTATAAACTGCAGGGCTAAGGAAAGTAAAATTTGATTCGATCTAAAATTATAAAACGGTCTTGTGTCTGAGAAAAAGATGATAGTGACAAAACCCGTTTCCTTCTGCTCATTACGTGCAGTCGAAATGAATTTCTGTATTTCAGCCAATATGAAACAGAAGTGTATACTTTCTTTCGCCCTGCGTTTTACATGGACACGACCCCCTAAAGACAGACGTTTGGTATCTACATCTGGAGTAGCTATGTGAACTGAGACAAGTGAATATACAGACAACGGTGAGTGTGGTTCGTTACAAGGATGATTTTATGTTCTCATGACTAGACGAATGGTTGTATCATACGATACCAATATCATTTACCTCTCAATACCTTATTCCGATTTCATGAATGCGATTTCGTGCTTGGTTTCGTGCCCTATCAGATAACACATACATTTCACAGAACACATTTTCGAAAAATAATTCATATGTAACACCGAGTTTTTGTTTCTTAGATGCGTATCGGAACACTAGCAGGTATAACGGTATCTAACCTTCAACATTCTATACTGACGTGCAAAAACACTTTCTCTTACCAAACTTGACATATTTTTGACATAATTGGAAAATAATCAGGTGTGTGTTTAGTTATCGGAACCGTATGAAACAGGAGTTTGCATTTTGGGAACGAGTGCGATCAAACGCACCAAAAGTCATCTGTTGTAGGGAGATTTGCGAAAATGACGTGTTGTGCAAGAAATGCTAAATGCAAGTGCGGAAAGGGTATAAAACCATTGCATGCGACAGGTGGGCGCGTGACATTACAGAAAACCACAAAATAAATGCCACGTTTAAGTTCAGCAGAACGAGAGAGGGCTATAGGAATGCTACAGTTTGGGGCTACAACTGGTCAGGTTGCTGCAACGTTTGGTTGCTCCGTAGTTACTGTCAGGAACCTTCGCCAACGCTTCAATCAGACTGGTCAGACATCGGACAGGCCACGAACAGGCAGACCCCGGGTAACAACAGCAGCGGAAGACGGGCATCTGAGAACGTTGCACTTGCGGAACCACTTCCTGACGGTGACGGCATCTTCGGCAACGGCACTAGGTCACCCGGTAAGTCGATGGGCAGTAACAAGAAGACTTCGTGCCCATGGTATCAGATGTTATCGACCATACCGGGGAACGCTGCTAACGGATAGACATCGCCAGTTGAGTCTACGCTGGACCAGACAGGTCAGACGTTGGCAGCTACGTGACTGGCGTAGGGTACTGTTTTCTGACGAAAGCAAATTTTGTGAAAGAACAGCTCGTTGTTGTGTACAGGAGTCGGAGCCGTATATTGTCGATAGCGTCATGGTCTGGGGTGGCATATGCGTTGACCAGAGGACTGACCTGGTTGTCGTCAACGGTAATCTAACTGCTCAACGGTATGAGGTGCTGAGACCCACGGTCCTGCCATTTATACAGCAACAGCCACAGGGAGTCGTATTCCAACTCGACAATACTCGCCAACACGTTGCTATGATTGTACAGAACTTTCTGAACACCAACAACGTCAACGTTTTGCCATGGCCAGCTCGCTTCCCTGACTTGTCACCTATCGCACATTTGTGGGATCAACTCGATAGACAGAATCAGGGGAGACAGATTCGGGGACAGAATCCGCGAATTACAAGACAGGAACTGGCACAGGCCCTCGTCGGTAAATGGGGGCGTTTCCCTGTTGACGTCATCAGACGCTTGACCACTTCAGTCAGGAGACGTGTTAATTCATGCATCCAGGCCACGGGTGGACGTAATGTTTGACTACTGAAATGATTTCATTAATCGGATTATTGCTTTTTCCTTTCAATCCCTTTGTTAAATCGCTTTATATTCAGTGTTCGAGCATATGTTATAATTGCTTTTTTCACTGATTCATACGTTAAGAAATTGGTTTTTATATTGAAAACGTATTGGAAAATTCTTTATATGTGAACAGTCTGCCTTCCTCATGTAGTAAATCATTCACAAAAACAACAACTTTTTTTTACCACTCAAGATACAGAAAGGGATGACTATCAATTCTGATATTGTCGTTATTCCATAAGGATTGGCATCGTATCTCTTCTTCATTTACAATTTCTCTTTTACACATGGATATAAAGTTCGACCATTCAAAAAAAATGTCTTTCCAAAAGGAGTTAGTTGAAGAGGGATTTATTTCATTTTGTATATAGTAACTATCCGTCAGTAAAAATTGAGTCCTGATTTTAAACTGACTGGTGAAGAGAAACATCCATTTGAGGTCATGACCGCTTATTCTCTTTATCCATTTTAGTTTTTGTGAAGATATAATTTTTCTTATATTTGGAGTTTTTAAAAACGGGCAAATAGTTCTAAAGTACTCAAAACTGCATATAGGCATTTCTCTGATCCGTCTAGTGTAAGTGTTGTATCATCTGCGAACTGTGATAGAAGATATGCTATACTACCAAGTTTAATCATATTGATGGTATTCTCATTCCAAGTAGGGCAACAGCATCACTAGAACTACCATCTTCTAACCTCTGAACTTAAGATCGTTGTGTAACGTTGCTATCTGGTTCGCCGACTGATGGTGTTTCCTGGCGTTAAAGTTGTATATTAAATTTACAGGGTTAATTTCCTTTATTGTTTTTGGCCCAAACATTTCTTGGGATATATACATATACGCTTAAGACATTTCGATGTCAGTTGTTTACAGTCTGTGAATCATGGGAACTATTTTTAAAATTAACCAAATATCGCGGTTATAAGTGCATTTTGTTTGTTTGCACGTCATAATGAACTATGCACAAAAAGTGCTTCAAATGGTTTCTAAAAAAGGCTACATATCCAATCACATTTCTTGGCCACTAAAATCAATCGTGGGAAGTACATAGTCCATCAGTTTTGATGGTTTTCATCACAGTGCCGAAATGAAGTGACAGAATGAGAGCCGTCAGAATTCTTGAATCCCGCTCGTCGCAGCGTGACGTCGCACGTCAATGCAACCTACAACCACTTATGGCGACTTTATCAACAAGACAACCACGTCAGACTTCATTCCCGTAATGAACGTCTATTCATAACAACCATCGCCAGGACACAAGGATTTG